ATAACTGCATGGCTTGACATTGTCATGTTTCCTAGCTCATCTCCTTTCCCTCTCTTGATTAGTTAGTCCTTGAGATCCCAGATAACTGTTGTTAGGACGTAGGCTAGCAGCCCCTCTTGACTTTTGCCAGGCCCAGGAAGCTTACTTGGGTGGGTGCAAATCTAAGAACACTAACAATCAGGCCTAAAGGGCATTATTTAGGCACGGTGGTGCCATCCAAAGGGATGGTTAAATGGACCCCGCTGCCCTGTTGAGCTGTTCTTCTATCTGTGAGCCGATGTGAGAGGGCCGGTGCCAAGTGACTGCTTGGGGACTGTCCTCACTGCTAAGGCAAAACGCTGGACGCCACAGTTAAGGGAGGGAAGGTTTATTCAGTCTCAGTCTTCGAAGTTTTAGTTCATTACTGGCTGGTTCCAAGGCAGCCCTGGCAGAGGGGACAGTCCATGGCAAGGCAGGCTACGTCCCTTCAGACTGCACCCATGACACATGCCACAAGCCTATTGACTGGTGCCACCGTACCTGGGGGCTGCTCCCCAGATGCCCAGCCCTTCAGTGGGATGTCTGCTGCACACCCTTAGTCCCCGCAGCACGACTCCAGACGACCCAGCTCCCACAGCCCTGCCTGTGCGTGCCAGGCTTTGGGGGACATGTGGACACAGCATATGGGGGCCAGGGTGTAGAATTCACATAGATGAGAAGCTATATGGTGGTGCCAAGGGAATCAGTAGATTATCACTTCGGTGTGCCGGCGCAAAGTCCAGGAGGTAGACGGGGGCTGGCCTATAGTTTGCTACAATGTCTTTGTATTTTAAAGAGAAGGGAAGAAAAGCCAGCATGGGTGACAGAGCCCTGCCCTCCACCCGCCCAGAGGTAACAAGTCCTTCTGTTGCAGGCCTGCCGGCCCTGCACCCTGGAAAGGCCACACCATCTGTCCATCACCCCTGGCCATGATGCCAGGCCTCCTGCCCTCCCTGCTGGAGCTGCCCAAGCTGGGGTGCTTGTGAAGTGGTGACTACTCTGGCTGCAGGTCAGTGTCCCTGGGAGTGTGTGAAGACAGCGTGGTCTGTGGGCAGAGTGTGGCCCAGGGTCTGCAGGGACTCTCATGAAGCCTGGGGTGGGGGTCTTCATTTCACCACCAGGGACCCAGGGCTCAGGATCTGGGCTGGCCCTGGCCCTGCTCCAGGACTCAGTTTCCACATCTATGGATGCCTGGCTGTGGTGAGCTGCCACGGTTCAGCGCAGGACAGACTGTCGAGGGTGGGTGGGCACTCGCCCCCACGCCCGCTGTCCCCAGGGCCTTGGCTGGGCTGGACCCTGGCAGGCAGTGCAGATGGCACTGCCCTCTCCCCGAGGAAGCTGAGTCACTGAGTCCCAGGATGAGTGGGAGCTGGGGTGACGGTGGGGGTGGGGCTGCATGGCCCCCACCAGGCAGCCCCTCACCCCTGGGGTGAGGCTGGGAAGGGAGGTGCTGCAGCCCCTTGTCCCATCCATTCTGGACAGGGTCCCCTTCAGCTGCCTGCATGCTGGGCTCAGCGCTCAGGGGCACACGACTGGCCCCTCATGGCGGCGGCCCAGGCCAGCTCCTGGTCCTGTCATGCCCCCATGTGCCCTGCTCCCTGAGTGGCGGCCTGAGTAGAAGCTGTCACTCAGGGAGTGGGCGAGTGGCTGACACCTCTGGCCCCGCAGCTCCTGCTGGTGTGGAAGATGGTACCTGGCCAGCCAGCGTGTGAACCCAAGGAGAAGCCCACAGCCGTGGCTGCACGATGGAGGAGCCCACGCCCGAACCCGCCTACGTCGATGTGGACAAGGGCCTGACACTTGCCTGCTTCGTCTTCCTGTGCCTCTTCCTGGTCGCGATGATCATCCGCTGCGCCAAGGTCATCGTGGACCCCTACAGCGCCATCCCCACGTCCACCTGGGAGGAGCAGCACCTGGATGACTGAGGATGCCACGGACAGCGATGGCGTGGGCGTGCCATAGCCCAGCTGGCTGGTCCACGCAGGGTGCCCTGGTGCTGGGGTGCGGCCTGGCACATGGGCTCAGACCCCAGACCTGGCCGGCACCTCTGGGACCCTGGCCAGTGGCTCTGTGCCCGCCCCCATGTGCCTCTGGGAGCTGAGTCCAGGAACTCTGTCCTTAGAATGCAACACAGCACACGGCATCCTGCACCCCCCCCTGGGACCACCCTGCACCCCAGGGACAGGAGTGGAGCAGGGGAGCAGGTCCAGGGTGCCCCTGAAAACTTAACAGAGGCACACAGGCTTCTTTGAAGCAGTATTTTTTAAAACCAAGACATAGAGGGTTATATTTTTCCTGTGATAAGTGAAATGCACATTTTAGAAGCTTGGGAACATGCAGATAAATGGGAGGCAAATGGCTCGTATAATCCCACCTCCCAGAATCCTCCAGTTTTGGTATATTTCTTCCAGCCCTTTGACACCTATTTTTAGCCGACTTCACATGGTGTGCTGAGCACTCAGACTCTGGGACTGTGCTCCTGGGGCCTCCCAAGTATACCCAGCTTCTCCCCACACAAAATCACTGCACCCTGAAACCCTGGGGGTACAAGGCTTGCAGTGGGGCCTGTGCTCTGAGCCCCAGACACTCACAGGAGGGTGATCCTGAAGCCCACAGCCCTGCTGTGTTTTGTTCTGGGGTGGGGGGCATTTTCAGAAATGTGGGGGCAGGAGTGCTTTGCATGTCCGTGTAGGGCCAGGATTGCATCCCCCTTTCTGCCCCTGTGACTCCCAGCAGCTCTGGGCCAGCACCCAGGAGCCTGCTCCCGCGCTCCAACTCCTCGGCCAGCTTCCTGTGACGCAGGGAGGAGCATCTGCCTCACAAGGCAGCTGAGGGATGAGACAGCGGCTTCCCGAGCAGGGCTCCACCTCCCAGCCCCAGGGTCCCTGCCCCCTGTGGCCAGGGGTGCCCACAGCAGCCTCCAGGCACGTGTCCCTGAGCGGCACAGCATCTGGGCTCAGGTCACTGCACTGCTTTGACACCAGGGTCAGAGCCCATGCTCAGGCATGTCTTCCTGAGGCCTGGCGCACGTCCCACGTGGAGAAATGGGCGTCGTGGCCTTCTCTCCATCACCTGCACCCCTGCCAGGGTCCTGAGCACCCCCAGGCTCAGGGAATGGGTTTCCAAGGCACTGTCTCCTCGGGTGACCCCTGAGGACAGATGAGCCCTCTGATGTGCAGGCGAAGTCCAGCTCCCAGGCGTCCCCCTCACTGCGTGCACACAAAAGGGCAGCTGGGGAGGCAGTGGCCATAACACCGGGGGGCAGGCCTGAAGCCCGGCCTGGCAGCTGTCCTCGGAACCTACCTCAGACATACTGGTCACTACCTTGAGGAGCCAGGGGCATGGGCCACGTGTGGTCCCAGCTGACTTCCGGTCAGCTTGTGCTGCTCTGTGGAGTCCTACGGTGAGCTGGGTGCCCCAGGCAGAGCCACCCTCTGTGGCCCTGGGACCTTGTAGAACCCAGAATGCTGCCCACCCCCTTGCCTACGGGACCGGGCCTCTGATCTCAGGCACACTCACAGCAGGCTCCCTGGGTCCCTGCTTCCAGATGCCCAGTGCGGAGGAGCGCAGAGTCCGTGTGTCATGGGTGACCGCACACCTTGGTCTGGCTCTCAAGGGCCCATCCTACCCGTGATATTAGCTACCAGCCCCTTGGGGCTGAAATGGAGTGTGCACGTGGAGCCCCTGGTCCACTTCCCATGCCAGCTGTTCTGCCCAGCCACAGTGCAGGGTGGCCGGCCGATTGTCCTCCAGCTCCTGGCCTGCGCCTGCCCCCCAACATTCACCAGCTAAGACCCCTCCCCGCAGGGCTGTCCCTGGCTTCTGTACTGGGGGGTGAAGCGGGTTGAAAAGCATTTAATGGGAGCACATCACTAAGGATGACCAAGGTTAAAGGCAGCAGCGCAGGGGAGGTGGCCCCAGAAGGCAATCACAGCATGAAGCTGTCACCAGGGGCAAGGTGAGACTTGGGTTAGCTGGGGGGGGTGGAGCCCCTGACAGAGGTCATGACCCCATCCTGCTGGCCCAAGGAGAGGGAGGGGGTCCCCCACTCCAGCCCCCTGCCTGGGCTGAGCAGCGCCAAAACAGCAGATACCCAAAGGGCAGGCTGGGCCAGCCCACCCCCCACCATTTACAAATTGTGCTCAGATGGGGGGGTGGAGACTCCCCAAGGTCAGGGACTTGTGATGTCCCTCAGCCGCCATGCTGTCTGGGTGATGCTGTTTCTCCCACTGCCCAAAGCTCCAAGCCACAAGGTGACCATGTGAGGTGATGGGGGCAGTGAGTGTGAAACTGAGCCCCAGGCCAGCTGTGCCCTCTGCCTGGGCAGGGGCTGATCTGTGTGGTATGACCTGCCAGCAGAACTGCAGCCTCCCCTCAGGGGCCCAAGTTCCTGGTGCTCTATGAGGCAGCCATAGTCTCCCCACTCTCAACGGCCACCAAGTGGCCTTGCAGCCCTCCCTGGAAGCACGTGAGACCCCAGGGAGCCAGGTGTCTGGGCGGTGGAGCCCACGCCGTGATCCAAGGTCAGCTCGGCAAATCAGGGAGCCACCGAGGAATCCCAGATATGCTCCCTCCTGGACTTGGAGAAGGGAACACGGGGCATGGGGTCCCAGTGGCTCCAGCAGCCCCCTGGACCTAGGCTTCATCCTTGCTCCGCCATGGTGCATCAACAGTCCTGTCACCCCCTGGGCACTGATAAGTCCCCCTGAGCAGATGAGTGAGCCAATGCAAGGACCCAGGCAGCCCAGGGCCGCCTCAGCTTCTGATTTAACAGGAAGCATTTCTTCTTGCTCCTATCATTTTGAGGATGGGAACCAATGTCCTGAGTGGGCTGTTGAGTGTGACAGCTGGGCGGGAAGAGGAGGCACCTGTGCTGGGCTCCAGCAGACTGCAAACACAGGGACAAGGGCCTTACGGCTGCTGGTGGATATACAGGTCAGCACAGTCACTGTGCAGAGCACTACGGGAGCCCTGCGAGAACCCCAAAGTAGAGCCTGACCCCAGCCTGGGTGTGAGGCCAAAGGAAGTGGCCTCAGCCTTTGGGGAGACATCTGCACTCCAGGAGATGATCGCCTGGCCACCCGTTAACAGGTGGAGGGGCTGCGGGGTGCCAGGCCACACGGAATCGGCCAGACAGAAAGACCAGGGCTAGGAAAGCTGACGCGTATGTGGCACCTGAAACAGTTATCTCATAAGCACTGAGCGTGGAGCAGTGGTGGTGACAGGGGAAGTGGCCCACGGGTGATGTTGGTAGAGGGGAGAAGAGGGCTCCGGGCACTGGGACTTCCCCGCAGCTACACACTGCTGATCCACAGCCAGAGTTCTGAATGTTCTTACCTCTAAGAAGAATCGGCACTTGAGAAGCTGTTTCCCCAGATTTAAATATTGTACAATGTGAAAATGTTTGGGCTCAGCACATGGTACCCCCTAAATATGACATTAAAAAAATAAGGAGCTAAAATAAATGACATGAGGCCAACAGTGCCCCCTGCAGGTCAGGATCGGAACAGCCTTCCAAGGCCCTAATGTAGCCACTGAGGACTGAGAAGCAGTGTGATGGGGGCCCTGCGACAGCTGCAGGGTGGCTGGGTGGGGGGCACCTGGTCTGTGATCCCCACATTCCTGCATGGAAATCCGGCCCTCATGCAGGGTAGGAAGGAGGCAGTCGGGCCCTGGGCCACTGCAAAGGGCACATCTGGCCCCTCTCCCTCTACCCGACTGGTACCTACAGCTGCTCATGGGCAATAGGACACCTCAAGGAGGGCTCCCTCCACCTCAGGCTCTGCACCTCCATGTCCCCAGCCAGAAAAACTGTGACATGGATCGTGGCCTTTGCTGTGACGCCACGCTATGGCCGGGAGCTGCAAGGGCACCATGAGGCGCACAGGGACATTTCTGCCCCGCCACAGGACCGAGGAGGGCCACTAACCAGCCACCAAGTGCTGCCCATGCCCCCCCGCCCAGGGATGGAGCCATATGTTCTGGCAGGCTGCAAACCCAGCAGCGGAGGGAATGCTGCCCCCCACAGGGAAGGCTAGGTGCCCTGCACCACGACGGGGGGGTGTGCATCAGGGTGTCCCCCGAGGAGGATGTGGGCCCCCTCCAGTACGATGCCTGGGTGCAGCAGCGAGGATTTTCTGGCACAGTGTTCTCCAACAGCATGTGTGTTATTCTAGCGACTGCGGGACCCGCTCCGAATTTTAAATTCAGATCCCTTCTTTGTTCTCTTTCTGCTGACCCGGAATGTAGATGTCCTGGCTGGAGTTCAAGCAGCCATTTTTTTTAAAACCAGGGGGTGACTCTGAGGCTAAAGAAGCCCCGCCGAGGCCAGCAGAGTCCAGGAAATACCTCAGTGGCCGAGTTGCCTAGCAACCAGCCCAGACTGCTGCTGGCCCCTCTGCCCCGGGCCTGCCCCGCCCTCTCCCCAGTGCTCTGCTCCATTCACAACTCTCTCACTGCTCTGCTCCCCTCCTTGCACCCCACGAAGGGGGGCGGGCGCCAGCACTCCCAGCCGGCAGGAGGGGCCGCCCCTGCGCCACCCTCTCGCTGGGCTCCTTAGCCTGTGCCTGGGTGACAGCAAGGCGATACCAGGCACGGCACCTCGATGAGGCCAGACATCAGGCAGAGGCGTCTGTGGGAGAGGACGTCACCAGAGCTGGAACTGGCCCCTGTCCGCAAAGCTCCGTTCGGGGAAGCGGGTGGGCCTGGTCTAACCAGTGAGAGCCTCAAGGGAGAGTCCTCGGGGAAGGTGGGATCCTGCCCGCAGACGGCCCAGCTTACGCGCACCCCTCCTGGGCCTCCAGGCTGGCAGGCTCCCTGGGGACACAGGACCCGCGCGGCCCTGGAATCACCTGAGCCAATCCGTTAAAATAAGTATGCACACGCGCACGCACTCACACGCGCACACGCCTGCACTTCGGCCAGGCCAAGGAACCACCGTGGCCACCTAGCGGGCCAGGGCCTTGCTGGGCCACAGCACACAGCCTCAGAGCGTGGGACGCAGTGCGGTGGCTTTATTCACCCCCGAGAGAACAGCGGCGGGAGGCCCGACCCTGCCGGCCCTCAGGCTGGCAGCACCTTCCCGGCGCACGGGCCGAAGCCCACGCGGTAGCCGTCTCCTTGGCAGTACCCTGGAACAGAGGAGGACAGGGTCAGCCGCGCCGCCACGCGGCAGGGGACGCTCGGGCAGAGGTGTGCGCGGCCCACGAGCGCCCCCTGCGGCCGGGCCCCCGGAGTCCGGCTTCGGGGGCGACGTCTGTCCGGCAGCCTGAAGCCAGACAGCCGGGCCGCTCCACCTCCTGGACCTGTGACCTGGGGCCTCAGACCTCTGCCCACCGCTCAGGTGAGCAAGAAAGCCCAAGGCGCTGGGGACAGCAGGGCCCATGATGGAAGCCAGCTCAGGAAACACGGCGTGACCCAGGGAGGGCAGAACTGCGCCTGTCAGCAGAGGGGAGCTGATTTCCTCCTCTCCTGGCTTCGAGACCTGCGGGGGTGCACCCCCAGCCCCAGCAGGCAAGCAGGGGTCTTCAGCCCTGGGCCTGGATGGACAGAGCTGGTGCTGCCCGCCATGGGAGGGCTCCTGGCTTGCAGGATTCCCATGAGCATCATCCCTCCCAGCCGAGGCTGGCTTCCAGCCGGCAGTAACACACGGGGGCCCACGGGTCCCAAGGTCCAGGGCACCCCGCCTCCCAGGCTGGCTCCCAAGCCAGGTACAGTGCCGGTCCTGCCCAGAAGAGCAGGAGGAGCAGACTGCTGATCGTTCCCTCTGGGGACCTCATGGGACGCCCTGATGCCCCAGCTGTGAGACACTGGGCAGAGATCACCAGGGTGGCCACGGGGGGAGGACAGGACAGGCTGCGGTGCCCGCACCTGTGATGATGACCTCGTCTCCATCCAGCAGAAACGTCCTGGTCTGTCCTTGTCCCAGCTCTATGGGCTTTGTCCCCTTCCAGGACAGCTCCAGCAGGCAGCCAAAGCTCTCGGGCTCCTTTGTGACACAGAAGGGAGCCGGTCAAGTGTGACACTGAGGGTCTGCCCGGGTGGATGGCACTCAGGGAGGCCTGGGCAAGGGTGGGGACCAGTGCCCAGAGCTGAGACCCTGCCCTTTCCTCCCTCCTACAAGGGCCTGACATCCAGGGAGCCCCAAGTCTCCCCACAGGGTGCGGCCAGGACCCAGTCAGGAGGGACCAGCACACACCCCTTGTGATGTCACCTCTGAAACCACTATACCCGAGCGAGGCTCACAGGGCACAGGGGTGCTGGGAAGAGCCGCAGCAGACAGGTTGCCCACCCTGGAGTATGGTGACATGGTGATGACCCCAACATTGCAGGTGCCTCCAGGTCCCCCGACTCCTAGGCCTCTGTGGTGGTGGGGCCCAGGTTCTCTGGAGGGACAGGCCTCCCCCACAGCCTGCACTCACCGGCCCGCTGATCGTCCCAGAAGCCAGGAGGTCGCCCGGCTGAAGGTTGCAGCCATTGACAGAGTGGTGGGCAAGCTGCTGCAGCATGGTCCAGTACATGTGCTGGACAGGGCACAGGGGGACACAGTTCGTGGGCCCACTCCCTGCCCTTGCCCACCCATCCCCCCAGCGGCCTCTCAGGTCCCCCAGGAGTGCTGTGTGGCCCCTGCAGAGCTGCCCAGGGCCTCCCCTCCATGCTCCTGCTCCAGCCTGGACTCAGCTCCTCTGCTTCTGAGATGCAGCCCACGGCGGTATCAGTGCTCACCTTGAAGTTGGACCTGCAGATGGTGGCCGGTTGGCTCATCCCTTCTCCTGCAGGTGAGAGAGGTCACACTGAAGACCCAGATCCCGAGAGAGAGGGAGGCCACGGAAGAGAATGCTTGTTGTCTCAGCTTCTGGTCATCCCTGTGACTCCAGTTTATAAAGCAGCAGGTGTACCTACCAGAGCCAGAGCCCTTACCCTACAGGAGGCTGAGGCCACTACGGTGCCACTGCCCGGATGGCTGCAGGGCTGTCCCTATCACTGGGCCCGCGGACCTGTGCCCAGCTCCCAGGGCTGGTGCAGGCTGGCTCAGGATCTGGGTATGGCCCTGAGCACTGAGCCAGAACCCCTGGGACAGCCCAGGCTGTCAGACACCTGATGAGACTCACTGTCCACCCAGAGTGGCCTGGAAGGAGGATGGGCACTGACTAGCAAAAGCTGAATGGGGGGCCCAGGGCCCAGGGGCAGGTCATGTGGGCCCAGAGAGGCTCCCTCAGCACAGGAAGCCCCTTGGAAAGCCACACGTCCACAGGGCTGCTCCCCAAAGCTCAGGAGCCTGTGGGCACAACCCATAAGCAACACGTGCCTGCCCGCTGCCTACCTTTCAGGGCCACAGACAGGTTGATGTCGAACGTATAGGGCTGGTCATGGCAAAGATATGGCAGGGGCCTGGGGTCCTGGGGTCAGAGCACAGCAAAGCAAAACAGCTTGATAGGGACCCCTGGCAGCACCACATCCTGGGACAGTGGCTGAGGTAGTCAGATATTGCTGGGGAGGGGTTCTAAGGGCCAGGTGAAAGGTCACACAGAGGTGTCCCAGAAGCCAGTGGAGGGGATGTTGAGGACCCAGGAGGCTGGGACTGGGAGCACAGCCTGGGCAGAGGAAGGGTGAAGTGGAGCCCCAGGAAGAGCCGAGCCACTCACAGGCCCTGTTGGCATGGGGCCACTGGGAGGGAGCGCAGTGGCCAGAAACAGCACTGCAAGCAAAAGCAGTGTTCTCCCCAGTGTAACCCCTGAGTCAGTAGGGGACACAGATTGAGGCTGGTGGTCTGAACGGCTGTATGTGTTTCTCATAAAGAGCACAGGGGCTGTGAAGCAGGAGGGGCTGTAGGGAGACCGGTCTCCATCACCAAGGAGTCCTGGGCAGGCTGGCAAGGGCAACCCCACATAGATCAGAGCGCAGCAGCCCTGCTGGGGCTTGGACTTGGCGGAGACTGAGCAGGAGCCTCAGGAGACAGCCTGGGCCAGCAGCAGCTGGCCTGGGACACTGACCACACTGAAAGGTCTGGTATCACCGGCCAGGGCTGAGGGCTGTGAGGTCCCAGCACCAAGTCACAGCTGGGGCAGGTGGAGCCCCACAGGGCCAGGACAGCAGGAGCAGGCGGCAGAAGCTGCCCCCACGCACTGCAGCCGGTCTCGGTGCCCATGGCTCCTGCATTTGTGGGCTGCGGCCTGCAGCAGCCTGCGGCGGGGCTTAGGCGGGGCCTCTCCTGCCTGCGGCACTCTAAGGGCAGCATGTGGCCCAGGCCTCTGCCCCGGAGCCCAGGTCGACCACGGAGGAGTGCCTGTACCAGGACCACCTGAGATCACTGTGACCAGGACCCCAGGCCCACACAGCGGCAGGTAGCAGCAGGCATGCTTACCTGCTTGGGGTTGGGTATGGCGAAGGGTGCGAGGGCGTCCATGGGCACCACCCACGGGGAGATGGTGGTGGCGAAGCTCTTCCCAAGGAATGGCCCCAGGGGCACGTACTCCCACTGCTGAATATCGCGGGCTGGGGAGAGGGCAGGTGGGCTCAGCCTTGGCCCCGGGCAGGGGCAGTGGGCACTGAGGATGTCCGTGAGGGGCCATGTGGACACCGCCCTCCCACACAAGGCAGAGGTGTGAACCATCAAGTCTTAACTCAGCACGGAGGACCTCCTTGCCTGGTCTGGGTCTGGAAAGGGGACTGAACACTGCAAGCACTTGTGGGGCTCAACAAGCCCTGGAGAGCCAGGTCCCCATTCTACCCAGAGAGAGCGGGGGTCGGGGGCTCCCAGCAGGGCTGACACTGTCTGCAGGGCACAGAGCCAGGGCTTGAGGCTCCACGCTTACCACTCCAGTCGTTCATGAGGACCATTCCAAAGATGTGTTCGTGGGCCTTGGAAATGGGGATGGGCTCTCCCAGCTTGTTCCCAGGGCCTACAAAGAAAGCCTGGGGTGGGGAGGGTCAGAGCCGAGGGCTGTGACAGACAGACAGATAGACAGACAGACAGACAGGCACGCATGCACACATGCCCTCCAGACAGCGACCATCAGGGTTTCGGGGCCTGCGCAGGTGTGCCATGGCCTGCCGCCTAATGCCTGCTGAAGACAGACGGCACTAGGGCAGACTGTGGACCAACAGGGCATCCAGATCTGCAAGGGAGGTGGCTGGGGAAGGGCCACGTAGCAGCACACAAAATCAGCAAGGCTGTTTGCGAGGGCACAGCCACAGTTTAATTAAACTGCAAATTACTACAAGATGAAAAAAGACCCCAGAGGACCCGCTCGGCAGTTCCAGCGCTGTCGGGCCAGCACTCTGCTGTCTGCACCAGCACCACCCCTCCGCCTCGCCTTTTCTGGCTGCCGCGCCCAACCCCTGCCAAACTGGGGCCCGCTCTGAGGAAGGCCCTACCTCAGTGACTCCCGCTGAGAGAGAGCCCTGCAGTCTGGGGGACCTGCCAGTGGCAACTGGAGGTAGTGCCCACTCATTTCTCTCCTCTGGCCCAGGTCCAAAGAGGTCCCCGAGCAGGGTGGTGGCAGCGACCCCTGCAGCACAGCCCAGGTCCCCTACTGCAGCGGTCTGGGCAGCACTCAGCCCCTCTGCTGCACCAGCACGTGAGATGGCCCGTGTGCTGCAGGCCCGTGTGCTGCAGGCCCGTGTGTTGGGGTGCTCTCCCCTCTTTAAAAGGCAGCTGTGGGGCTGGGGAGACAGCTCGGCGGCACAGCACACGCTGGATTCCCATGGGATCTGGGGCCACAGGAAAGGGGCTCAGCTTTCAGCTATTTCTACAACTGCTCTAAATACAAAATTTTCTTTTCTTGTTTTTAAAGTGCAGCCCCAAGACGACCTCAGCTTGGTCACGTGGGCCAGGGCACGGCTGCTAGGTCCTCATGGTAGTAACCATTGGACCACAGAACTGGCAGGCACAGGGCCCTGCCCGGCACACGTACCACAGTGCTCCCAAAGCCTCTGGTCATTGCAGCCGAACAGGCTGAGTCCTAACGACATCTAACCGCGCTTACAAGCCCCTGGTGCCCCAGCAGAAGGGATGCAGCGCAGGGCAGCCTGCTTCCACTAAGTTGCCCAGGCTGGCCTTGAGCTGCAAGCACCCCTGCCTCAGCCTCCTGGAGGTGCCGTTACAGATCTCTGTCTAAAGACTCCTTGTTAGCTGCCTGCCACCAGCCCCAGAACTCCTGGCTGACAAGGCTGCTCCCTCCGAAAGGCACGATCTGCCTTCCTGAGCCAGGAGCCCACGGCACACCAGGCCTGTGCTCAGGACCACAAGAAACAGCAAAATCACATGTGAAAAACACGGCACACAACATGTGAAATCACGTGTGTGCAGACCACAGGTGGAGAAGGTGGACAGTGCGTGGCTTTGCTCGCCTTGGCTGGGCCGAGCGCATCATGGGATGTGGCTGTCACTGTCCGACCACGGAGGGCCATGAAGGCGCAGTGAACATTACTTCCAGGGACACAAATCAACAGTAACAAGCAGGTGCATCTCCAGACACAGAAAGCATGACTGCACTCTGGTGGCCGGGAGGGACAAGCTCTACTGGGGCAGGCCCATGGGAGCAGCACAGGCTCGGGAGGCCTGGTCAGCGCTGTGGCCAGCTCACCATCTCCAGCTCCATGTCCAGTAGCTTGCACGGCCCGAAAACAGGAGGCTTGGCTGGAACAAGACCGGAGAGAGGGGCTGTCGTGAGCATGGCTTCACGCAGGGTGAAGCAGGAGTGGGCATGGCCGGCTGGGGCTCTGGTCACTCACAGTTATCAGGCCTCATCTGTCCCATGGGCCTGCGGATTGGGGTGCTGGACACCACGATAGAGGAGGCACGGCCGTGGTAGCCCACAGGTAGGCTCAACCTGGGGAAGCAAGGTGGGCTGAAAGGCATGGAGGCCAGGACAGGAAACCACAGCTAAAACTCAGAAGCATGCAGGCTCTGAGGTCACTGGTGTGGGAAGGTGCCCCAAAATCCAAACGCAGGTTGGTGTGACCAGAGCTCTGCTACTTCCCTGGGCCCCCCACCCCCACGCAGCACAAGAGGCCTGGGACAGATCCTGGGATGGGGGGAGGAACCTCCAAACACTGCACAGCAACTTCGACCACGTGGGCTACAGAGCACACTGAGGCCCGCAGGCCACAGATGACAGGGCCCATAGGAGAGGAACAGGCCACAGCCTTGGAGAGCAGGGGATACCAGACCCTGTGTTGCAGAGACAGCGGCTCCCCAGAGGTATGGCCATACCCAACCCTTGAAAACGTGGGATGGGTCTTAGCAGATGTAACTGCCTTAAGGGGTCTCGAGATCAGATCTGGGTGGGTCCTACAATTCTTACAGCAGGCAAAGAGACGCAGCAGGCAAAGAGAGGCAGCCCAGGGTGGACAGTCCTTTGAGCCTGCACAGGAGCCTGGCGCTGCCCACGCTGTGATTTTGGACTCTGGACACAGAGGGTAGGTGTGTGCCGGCACAGCCACCCTGTCGTCCGTGGGCCTTAGTTGGCAGCCTGAGGTGACTAATACAGACCCACAGCTTACCTCACCCACAGAAGGAGACTGAAGATCTACATGTACAAAGAAGAGGCACTGCCAGTGTGAGGGAAAAACCCAACAGTACTTATGAATTCTTGGGGTAGAAAAAGCCTTCCTAAACAAGACACAAAATAAATGCCTTGAAGACAGTGAGTATGCGATTCACTCTGTAAAAATGCAAAGCTGCTGCACCCAGAGGGCCACAAAGCAGAAAGACGACGCACAAGCTGACTGCTCTTCCAGAATGCTTGGCGCTGGGAGTGTTTCCAGCTCCAGTTTGTTCAGATATTGGGCTATCCGCATGCACATAACGAGACGGCTTGGGAACAGGACCCATGTGTAAGCACAAAATGTTTCTGTTTCATATACGCCACATATGCCTGAAGATAACTGTATAGAATATTTTTAGTAACTGCAACAAATACAGTTCGCGTACCTTGAACCACCAGAAAGTGTCACGGCAACATCATGCCCACAGCTTCAAACATTTCAGATTTTGAAACTTTTTAGATTCAGACTTTGGGGCAGGGCGGCCTCCTGGAGCAGGCGGACACATCTGCAGTGCTGAGCGGCACTGGGCAATTCCGCGACCTGTCACTCTGCAAGCTGCTCAGGGCAGTGACAGTGGCCCTGAGCTGGCAGAGCGTGCAGGGCTCCTGAGAAGGGTGAGCCCCTGAGCCGTGCGCATCCACTCACTCATTGAATTGCTTTCAGTCTGTTAAATGTTAGCTAGCTCATTGTCCTACAGGTCTTACCCCAAAATTTATTTTGTAAGCAACTGAGGTATAATTAAGTTTTCTCACACAGAGAGATGTTGGTGACAGTGAAAGAGTAAGATCAGCATGGCCACATTCTGTTAACTGAAGAAATTAATTTGAAGAAATAAACCATGTGCACATGTGCCTATCGCTGCGGACCAGCTCGGGGCGGCACCTCCAAGTACACTCAGGGCCCGTGGTGTGTGTCGGGCCCCCTCTCTCCTTGTGCTTCCTTTACTGGATTACGTTATACAGCATAGGTGTGTGCTGCTGTCCCGAATCACCAGCCCACAGTGGAACCACTCCCTCGCTCTCCAGTCACCCCCACCCCTCAAAGGCAGCACAAAGCTACCACACTACACTCACCTGCCCATAGACACGTGGCCCCACAAAAGTGGGGCAGGCAACTGTGCGTGAGTGTTAAGCTGAGCTCCCTGGAGCTAATGGATGCTACCTTACCAGGCAAAAGGGATTAGGGTGAGGTTCCTAAAACACAGAGATCACCCTTGTTATTCTGGTGAGCTGTGGGTATAACCAGTGATGGCAAACCATGTAGAGGTCGAGTACCCAAACCGTAACCCTCAACTCATTTATTGCAAAGCGTTTCCCCGGCCCCTAGCACTGCAATGAAACCTGAACACTGAGGCTTTAGCTTCAAGCTCCAGGCGGCAACCTGCTCCTGTGCCCTCTTCCTCTCTCCCATGATCCAACAGCCCCTCTGCCTGGCTTAACCTCACTGAGCATGCACCAGCTCCTCGTCCAGGTATTCCTCAGTGCTGAGTGGCACCATGTCCAGAGCACAGCACAGGAGGGCAAAGGGCCGGGGCCCCACCCAGGGAGCCTCCCACTGTCCATGGGCAGGCAACCTGTCTCTGAGGCTGTGTTCTCTGGCTTGCAGTCCTAACCTCAGCCACCTCACAGAACACCCAGGAGATCAAGTGAGTGGCCTCTGTTCTGGGCCGTGCTTTGAGGGGTGCCAAGGAGCAGGCACCCTTGATGATTCCCATTCATCAGAGGTGCTAGGTGTGGAGAATGCTGGGAATCACAAACCATACTAGAACAGTGACAGCTTACAGTGGAACCCAGAAGGACCACTGCCACTTGGGGACTCTAAAGCCAACCTCTGTTCTTTTGCAGAACAGGCTCAATAACCTGCACTCAGGTGCCATGGAAGGTCCCAGCCACACCAGGTGCTGAAAGCCCAACTGACCACATTGGTGACATCCCCACCACCTCTATCACGGCTGGTTTCCTCCTTGGCAGCCCTGGAAACCCACACTTGCCAGCCTCCCACATCCATTCAGAACCATGACAGATGCATGCTCAAGAGGGACCGAAGACCTCGATCTCACCCACGCCCTGGCTTTGGGACGTACCAGTTGGGCATCAGTGCATTCTCTTTGCCCCTGAACATGGTTCCAATGTTGGTGGCATGCTGCCGCGAGGAGTAGAAGTCAGTGTAGTCTCCTGGGGAGGAGGACCAAGGGGAGCCGGTTAGTGACTTGAGGGGGGGACAAGGGGCTGAAGTTCATCCTGAATGTGACACAGGCGGCCTCGGCTCAGAACCCAAACTGAAGAAGCAAGCAGCCCACTTCTGAATCAGTCAATGGAACCTGACATGAGAGGCCAGCACGGTCGCCTTCTTGCCCCTGGGCAGCAGTGGCAGCAGCATCCTTCACCGTGTCTGCCCAAGCCATGCCTGTTGCTGACCAGGTCAAGTCCAGACAATCTGCATGGCCCCCTCCTCCACACAGGCTTCAACGGGGGGTAGGTGTTACCCTTTCTTCAGCAAGCCCCGCCTGGGCTGGGCTTCCATCCCACCTGCAGGTCTCTGGGCCCCAGCCTGAACTGCCTGAATTCTGTCCCTCTCTTGGGACAAAGAGTGCTGTCTTGTGTGTGGCCTCTGGCTGGGGTTACCAACACAGTGCTTCTTAAGCAGCAGTACCCGTTTCCTCTGGGGGATGAGTTACTAAAATCTGCAGAATTCGGCTGGGACAGTTGGCTTGTCTCCCTAAATCTTCTGTCCAACCCCTCAAATGCAGAGGTCCCCAGTCCCGCCAGTCTGGGTTAGGAGGGGAGGAGGAAGGGTGAGGAGAGGGTGCGGAGTCTGGGGTCCGCTGGGGGAGGGGAGGACACATCAAGCCCTGCTGCTGCTTCGTGCCACCCCTAGCCTCTGTGGACCAGTCTGTGGCAGCTCAGGCTCAGTGGGCTGTACTCTTCACTCTTCCTATCAGTCAGCCACTTGCTGGCTCAGGGCGCCAACGCTGCTCAGTTGCTGGAAGCTCGTCATGGAGTTGCGTTCCCATGACCGCTCGGGCACTTGCCCCTCAGCCTGTCAGGGCCTCCAGCCAGCCGGTTACAGACTTGAGCAGCAGAGTCAACCCCGGCAGGTATGGAGACCCGCCAGGGTCAGGGAGTGGGTGAAGCATTTCTTCTCCCCACACCCAGGCAGGGACACTCACCAATGGCAGCTGGCAGGTGCATGGTGGCTGAAGCCTGCGAGGCGAATGCCCTGAAACACAGAGTGGGGGCTTCAGGGGCAGGGTAATCAGGGTCTGTCTGTGTGCCACTCAGGCCGAGCCCGGGCTGTCCCAGTCCTGCTTGCCCTCTCCAGGGCCAGGGAGGAGGGAGCACAGAAGCCCATGGACAGCCCATATTGGCAGGAACTCCCTCTGCAGACACCGGCGAGGGTGCAGGTGACATAGATCAGCAGGCACAGGGTGTGGTCTGGGGGAAGCCCAGGTGGCTGAGTCCTGCAGCACACAGGGTGTCAGAGCCTGACCCACCAAGCCAGGACCCATGCTGACACTGTCTGCCATCTGGTCCTTGTCCCCCGAGTGTCCTCCTGCCCACCATGTCCACGTGGTCCTCACCGGCCCCGAAGTTCTGCATCATCCCGGAGCCTGGCTTGGCCAGCGGCCAGCAGGATTTGCAGGAATGCTCTCGCCTCTTTCCAGGCAGCAGGCCCCAGGCCCATGAAGTTGTTAAGAGTTGGCTGGGGTCAAACACAAAAAGAAGATCACAAATGGGAGAGCCCTGGGACCCCCGCCTGTCTAGGCCCTATCGCTCCTCTGTGTCCACACACATGCTGGGGACCTTGCTCTTTTGTCACCTATGCATGACACTGGATAGCCATCACACCTCCTGACCCTGCATCAGCCCTCCCAAGACCTGCACACAGCTGTCCGAGCCTGGAGCTCCTTGAGCTTGGCCTGCAGCTGCAGGTGGCCACTCTTCCCAGCGAGGCCACGCCAGTCCTGGGGGCAGGACCCACGCAAACCCCTAGCCCTCCAGGAGGTGCTTAGGAAGGGCCCGGGGAAGGGTGGAGGTGGAGGGCCAGCCCCACCCCAGCCTCAGTGAGAGAGGCAGAGAGGACAGCATCTTGCTCCACATGCCAGGGGCCCTGCCCATCTAGAGATGAGGCCAATTTCTGTGCCGGGCAGACTGAAGGAGACAGGCTGTGACTCACTCCTGGCACGCAGAAGGCACTCACTGATTATCCTCTCCTTCCCGCATGTGTCACAGAGACGGGTGTCAAGGGTGTCAGAGGAGGGAAGCTCATGGCCACCCTGGCACACATGCAGACATGCAAGGCAGGCCAACACCCTGCCATCCCATGGACCTGGAGTCAAGGGCTCCTGGCTGCCCCCACACCCTGTCTGGGACAGACCTAGGAGTGCAGAGAACGGACCCGCTCTTCGTGGAGAGAGCCCCCCACGGGGTGAAGGCCAGCTGAATCTCCCAAGGCCACGTCCTGCCCTCTGGTGGCTCTGAGAATAGCCTTGCCTTGGCCCCATGTGGCCTGAGACTGAAGGAACAACCCTAGCAGAGGTGGCAGGAACAAGCCACACTGCAGTGTCCTACCTCAGTGAAGACATCTTGCTGCGTGGTGAGGACAGGTCCAGTGAAGAGATGTTTAATGGCACTGAGGTCCAGGATCTGGTCCCCGATGGCCACACCAATCCGTGGCCGTGGCTGGGAAAACACAGCCCAGTTACCCCTGGGAAAATCTTCTGCAGCGCCTGGCGGATTTGGTCAGAAGCCCATGTGCTACAGAGCTCCCTGCAAGGGCCTGCGCCGCTGGGGCCCAGCATCTCACCCCACGACCTTCTCTGCTTCCACAGTGAGAACTGGGCTCCTTGAAGGGAAAGAGCCCAACAAGCACAGGTGGGCAGAGCGGGGAGCTCAGTGGGTGCGCCTTACCAAGCTAGAGCCCCTGCGAAGTTCGCCAGCACTGAGCTCTTGCATAAGGAGGAGCTGGATGCCCTTTCCATCCAACCCTGCCTTTGCTGGGGCACCCACAGGGCGCCCCACACAGGGTGCTGAGGGCAAGTGGCGCTGTGGTTCCAGCGGAGGAAAGCCAGGTTCCTGAGGGTGGCACCGAGCCAGACTGCTTGGGCCATGTACAAGAGGTTCCTTTCTGCCACATAACTCAGGGTCAGCCACTGTGTCTCAAATATTTGGCCAAGCCTGGCCTTTGACCCCACAGCACTGAGCTTTCCTGGTCAGCCCAAGAGTGGGCCTGCAGACTCCTCCTTCTGGGGCCCTGTCCTGAGCCACCAGCTTAGCCAGTCCATTCTTAGGAGCAGAGAGGCCTGCCTGCCCTGGCTACTCATCCTGATGGGCTGAGGGAAGGTGGCCATCTCCTCATACATCACCTGGAGCCAGGGGTTCACAGAGCCACAGATGCCCAAACTAGGCTGCCTGGACAGCCTGGCCACACTGAGCTCTGCTACGTCCCAGGCCTCAGTGTCCCACTCTGGAAACATGCAGGGCCCTGGGCTGAGCCTCCTGGCTCCAGGGGTGTTCACACAGCGGGGGTGGAGCCCGGCCCATCCCTTCGACCCTGGGCTGCAAGCCCAGCTAGGAGCTACCCCCAAGCGTGTTCTGGATCTAACAGCAGCAAGTCTGCCTGTGGCGTCACTTGTGAACAAGGCCTAGGGCGGTTCACCAATCCAACCTTAAGACCTGGAGAACAGCGCAAGAGACTGGCTTTAGCCTATGCCCTTCAGCACTGGACCAGAAGGGCTCCTACCTGCTCTCTTACTATCACCCCACCTCCTGCTTCTCTTGGGGTCCCGTGTAACTTGGGGCAGAAGGAATGTACCATGCCTGCTCTTCATTCACAGTCCATTTAAAGTCCAAAGTTCTAAGTCCCAGCCACAGGGGGCGCTGCAGGGACAGCGTGCCAGGAGCCTTGTGCCAAAGGGACGGATTCTCCACTCTGGCCCACTAGCAGAGGGCAGAGGAAAGGTGCTCGCCCCCAAAGCCCCTGTGGCTGCCTGCGACATTCTAGCAGCGAAGCCGCAGGCTGGTGTTTCTGGATTTCCGGCGGCCAGCGAGTTCGGCACCCTTTCAGCAAGTCCGCCTTCACACACTTCCCCGTCTGATCCACGGGTGTGTGCCCTCAGGGAAGGCCAGGCGTGCTGGGCCCCCGGCGTGCCCCGGGCCGTGACAACACTTGGTCAGGTCTGGCAGTTAGGAAACCACTCGGACTCTAGCAGACCACGGCGTGGGCTGCAGGCAGGCCACAGAGGCCAGCGTGGGCAGCTGGAGGAAAGAACCCCATGTTCGCGGAAGGGGCCAAGTGCCAGGAGATGCAGGTAGCAGACACTCCCTGAACACTGTAGGTGCATGCAGGGTCCCACAGCTTACGGAGCTGAAGCAGTTTACCTGTGGCAGCAGAAATCTAGTAAGAAATACCACTGCAGATGGCTGGAAACCTGCTCTTCCCACCCAGGGACCTTCTTGTAAACTTGCTGGTAAGCCCTCCGTTGTAAAAGATTTCTAAAAGTTCCTTCCTCTGCCCTAGGGTCTCCTGAAGGGCAAGGAATGGGCTGCTCGGTACCGGAGCTCACCGATTCTTCCGGGCTGTAGGCTGGACAGCCAGCGACGGGAAGGACCTACTGGAAGAGGGAGCGAAGCCCCGACTTCGGGCAGGTTCGCTCCTGACAGCGGTCGTCCTCGCTGTGCGGGCACGGGGGAGTCATGCACACTCCACTTGCACACACCGCTCTCACCACCCTGCTGAGAGGCTACCTGGCGCGCACAGCGGGCCGCTCCGGGCGGGCTTCGAACCTGTGCATGATCGGCGGAACGCAGTGCCCACCCCACCCCCAGCCCGTCCCGGCGCCAGGCCGCGGCTCACGTTGTCCGGGGTGGAGAAGACCCCGTAGGGCAGGTTCTGGATGGGGAAGTCAGAGTCTGCGGCCACGGGAATGAAGGACATGGTGGCGAACGCGCGCGGTAACGGGAGCGCGGGAGGAAAACCTGACTTGGCCACCCGGCCACTCCCCGCAGCCCGAGAACTGGCCCGCCTATTGGTGTCGCTGCGAACGCCCCGCCACAGAGCCCCGCCCCCGC